TATATTTGTAGTGAATATGTGTGTGAAAAATTACGACAACCTATATCGAGCTCGATACTTTTTCGTCAAAATGATAAAACTGTGTGCATATAAAAAATTGAAGCTATTAGCAATCTCCCAGTATTTTCTTCATACTCGGAGACATATAAATACTAAAAATAGAAAAAAGAAATGAAGAAAACAAACCTTCTGTTCACCAGTATTATTTTTAGGTCACAATACCTACGTTCACAACTCGAACTAATCCGGTCCAACATTTTTAAACAGTAGCAACACACTTTCTACACGTGCCACCGTCCACGTCCACGCAACTTCCTAGAATCTTTATTCGCACGGCACGTGTACATTAGAAACGCAGCTGCGCTTAAAAGCGACACGTGTAATATCGTATATAAGACCCGAATATTTCTATAATAAAGCCACACCGATCGATCCCCCATCCAATTCAAACGGGGATCGATATTACGACGGCCTAAGCCGAGGTTCGAACCCCTAGCGGTGTCCACAGACTAAAGTCGTATCCGTCAAGCGGGAGTTGGCCTTCAGCCGCTCCATAAATCCTTCCTTTGGTTTGGAGTGCCATCTGCACTCGCCCCCTATCGTCCAAGAAGCTGTAATGGCCAGCTGCGGTCAACAGCATTAGAGTAGTCCGAAAAAAAAATATAATAAACACACTTCCATTCTGTCTGTCGACTGTTTAATTACGAGCTCCCAAGTTCTCAACAAAGTAGGTCTTAGACCTAAACCTTAAAGGGACGTGTACACACTCCCTTAAAAAACAAATTCCAATATAGTTCACCATTTTTGTTTCCAATTTTGTTGTACTTATATTGGAATCGTATGAAAATCGTTGGGCGCGGATGCGTAAAGGCTACACAAATTCGTTGTTTCCGGTTGCCATCATTAGATGCGAGCCGTAAAATAAAAGCCTATAATGGAACTGACACGCCGCCGCGCCGTAAGGGCTATGTAAGCTTTATTGCAGCCCTGCGTACCACCTGCTACCCCACTACCCCACTACCTGTACGAGATGGACCGCTGCTGTAACGCGTATTTTATATTTAATGTTGCTTATCGACATTATTGTTCATTTGGATATATAGTTTAATGAAATACTAGCCACTCGCCCCGGCATCGCACGGGTATACATGTATTATACATATAAACTTCTTGAATCACTTTATCTACTAAAAAACCGCTTCAAAATCCGTTGCGTACTTTTAAAGATTTAAGCCTACATAGGGACGGACAGACAGCTACAGCGATATTTCTTATTCGAGATATGGTATGGTGTTAAACGGCTAGAGAATCTTTTGAACATCTGCATAGTGTCATGGTTTTTTTTTTCGGACTACTCTAATACTGTTGGCCGCATCTGGCCTTTACAGCTTCACCGGACGATAGGGGGCGAGGGCAGATAGCACTCCAAACCAAGGAAGGACTTGTGGAGCGGCTGAAGGGCAACTCTCGCCTGACGGATACGACTTTACTCTGGGGGCACCGCTAGGAGCTCGAACTTTGGGTCACTGTCGTCACGTCGGGTTTTTTTTTATAACTTCAAAATTTGGAGAACTTCAAGAAGTTCTCCAAATTTCGATTTGATTTGAATCATTTCCGATGGGGCAGTCCAAAGCGCCTTCAAAGATTTTATTGATTCCCGTCCGAATGTTTTTTTAGTAAAGAGATCAATGAACTACCTATGAGATGGCAAAAGTGCATAAATAGCAATGGTACATTATACTTTGTTTAAATAAATATATTATATTTTGAAAGATTCGACTTTAGGTTACTCCCTTACGAAACGTCGATTTCATATATTAGGACCTAATATATATTTTATTACACTTTAAATACAGTAGTAAACTTAATTATATACAGAGTGAGCAAAAGTGGACATATCTCTATAAGAGATCTCTACCAGTCGACCCGACAGTGTGACACAGCTATTACAGCCTGAAGGGATGCGTATGTTTCAAAATTTGTCATCAAATAAACATCTCCGTTTTAGTTGTGACTGCGCGGACGAATTCTAATTATCCGTTTCTTGATTTGCTTACTGTTACATCACTACATAGTATAAAACAAAGTCACTGTCGCTGTCTGTCCCTATGTATGCTTAAATCTTTAAAACTAACTGTTGTTTAATGATTAATTAAATAATATGTACTTCATTGCGCAAAGTCGTGGCGATTACAATGAACTGTACCGGCACGTCCATCTTTGCATTCAGTGTAAGATGTGAGTGGGTACACTGCATCAGTTTAATTAAACATGGCACGGCGCTGTGAGAACAAAGAGTCGGCTCGTTGTGTTGCCGCTGCTATTGTGCATCGCTGTAGTGGCGCCGGGGATGAACGCGGGGACTGAGGGGGCAGAGGAGTGGGAGGGGGGGGGGCTAGCTCATTTGGAATGTAAACGTGAACAACTCCCTAATAAAGTGAGTTTGGGATGTGTCTCACGTCAACGTTACTAGCACATATATGAGTGCAGCAAGTGTTGATACACATCCGAGTAACATTAAACTTCTCCACTTGGCACATATATAGTTTGTTATAATGTTTTGAATGTAATCATTATGAAGTATGTTGTTCAGGCGCAGTATGAATCTGTGGCCCAATATAAAATGTTAAGACTGCAACACTGCAACGCAAGGGTTTCAGGGGTCAGAGACAAAACGTGAATGGTCACAGATTCAGTTTCAGATTCGCTAACGAATGCATTACACATCTTGTTATTAATATTATAAATACATTAGTTTGTGAGTATGGATGGAAATTTGTTACACTTTCACGCAAAAACTACTAAACAGATTTTGATGAAGTTTTACAGTAATGTATATATCAGAATAACATCTAGGCTATAAATGTCGTGCGGATGAAACCGCAGGCGCTGCTAGTAATTATTTAAGTTATTGTATTAATAACAATTAGATGGGAATCACCTATTTTTGATATACATTTTGGAAATAAGAGAAAGCAGCAGTGGGTTAAATATTAAAATGATAAAGTTTACAGGTTGACATTACAAAAAAATCCTGATCTTTTACACTTTAAAAGATCAGGATTTATTGTATAGTGACATATTCTATAAAAATGTACAAACAACTAATTCTACGATGGCCAGCATTATACTTCCAACAATACAATCAAGATTCTCATCTTATAAAAAAATCAAACAATGTTCTTTTTATGTCACAAAGATGGCAATCGGGCACATAGTCTATTTGATGGCAGTGGTTACCGTAGACTGTAGACACCTGAGACACCGGGGTGTCACGTGCGCGTTGCTGACACTTAGGAAATCTTAATAAACCATTCCTGAAAAACATCCTTTAGTATATAATTGCTGTAAAGTCCTGTAATTCGGTTGTTGGTCAGATAATATTAGTCATCATCATCTGCTTCTTCCTTATCTCATTTATTTGTGGTCGTCGTAATATGTTTTTCGCTTCCATTCATCCCTGTTCGCAGTCATCTAGTTATGTACTCCCTTTCTCACCATATCATCTTTCACACAGTCATCTATCTCTTTTTCGGCCTTCCTCTGCCCTTATAGCCATCCACATTCATATGTCATTGAGTGTGATAATAAGTCCGTATTGTTGTTCATATATATAGACGGCAGTTACTGTTTACCATCAGATGGGAGGCCAGCTCGTTTATCATTCGATATACCTTAAAAACTTAACATATTTCTATGGTGTGAATCACTATAAGTAATGGATGAAGAGTTGCATGAAAGTGGAAGGCTGGCGGGTTGCGAGGGAGTCAGGTCGCAAGACGTGGGATATTCAATAAGCTGTTAAGATTCAAGTTGATAAGAGAGCGCGTTCCCTCGGGAAATATCCCGCGCGGCCGCCTCGTGCCCAACCTGACCGCACTACGAATTTCGTTATTTCAAATACGAGTAACTTGTAATGCATTAAATGCCAAGCGGGAGCACGACAGTACCAACTATTTGGAGATAGATCAAAGTGATGGTAGAATTATTGAGATAAAAATGTATTTGCTTTCATATACAGTGAAATGAAATTGTTTATTTTGCGAGGAATGTGGTGTGCACAGAGGTTATAAAGTGGTACATATAGTTACAATCCGCCTTGTGCAGACATACAAAATTATATATTGTTTGAATAATTACATTATTCTGTCTTTCAGATAGCATATTACATTATAATATTATACAATTGTAAAAATTATTATATCTATATTATAATGTAAATATTTAATTTAGTTCGTTTTTAAGAAAAAAAATTGTTTATCTATGTATAGAGAAAGAGTCCACGACGGCCAGACATACGTCATTTTAGTAAACGTGTAAGTTCTTATATGTGTGTCCCCAACACAGGTAAGAACGATCCCCAAACATGAAACCTGGATCGTGGTTCCTTTGGCAGGTACCAGGTAGCAAAGGTGTAAAAATTTTCGTATCCAATTCGTTATTTTAAGAAAGTCTATTTTTTTATATATTGTTCGTAGCAGTATTATAACTTGCGCTGCTCATTGCCAGACACGTAGTGTGGTTCCAACCCCCCGCCGGACCCCTAAACTATACTATTTTATGAATAAACTTACGTTACTTTAATAAAGCTGAAATTTATATATATAATAAGAGGTGGCAGATAAATTATAAACTCTAACTGGGAATTTTCTCAATATTTTACGACGGCTTCGTTAGTCTAGCGGTTTAGCACGTTTTACTTCCGATGGTTGCGGATTCGATTCCTCGCACGGCACAAACATTTGTATTTATGAGTATGATTGTTTGTATCTTTCTGAGTACTTTCTATGTACATTGTGTATGTATTTACAAAAAAAACTAAGTATTTATATCAGTTGTTTAATACTCATAACAAATAAAACGAAAAGTGCGGAAAGGAACGAAAACGTATTAAAATTGTGCGGACGGAGCAGCACAATTTTTGTATACAGCGATACAAAGTTTTTGGCTCACGTAATAATTGATGATAGAGAGAAAATATTTAATTAGCACTTTACAAATTGATGTTTTAAAGTTTGGAGTGTGAAGTGTGGTCGGTGAACCCCCTACGGTACAGTGCCACGACAGCAGCGCCGCCCAGTCCCAGGTTGTGCTGCAGACCGAGACGCGCATTCGGCACCTGAAACGATATATTCATTCAACATCTTTATTCACGTAGGTCTATTACAGACTCATACGAGGCTGCTTTTATTTTAGAAAAATAAAGTTTTATATCACGCGGACGAAGTCGCGGGTACAGCTAGTGTAAAATAACCTCAAAATTATTTAAAAGAGTAGCCATTACAGCTTTCCGAATGAGCGGTAGATTGAAAAAAAATGTGATGACTATTCAAAAGTGATTAAATATAAGTTTATTTGAATAAATTATTTTATATTTTATTCTATTTGTGTTCATGAGAACACACCGAGAACGTATCGGTAGGTAATGTGAGAGTACAGGCGACAGTAGGCACTGAACATACACGACCCAACGAAACTCACCGCCCACTGCTTTAAGTGATAGATAACCTTTGTCTTCTTTACTGTCGTTATATTATGATAACTTTGCACGGGTGTACATGTATTAAAAATATAAATAATCTTAATTCAAATAAACTCATTACCAGCACTTATGAATAGTCATATTTTGATTCTACCACTCATTCGGAATGCAGATTCATCACAAGAAGAATGAGCAAGAAACTTGTGTGTTGCTCTTTTGAATAGATGTTTTTTTTATATAAGTAATTACAGTATAACAAGTAAGAGGCATGCGATAATCAACATAGAAATCGCTACGCACTCATTATTATATATATAAACCTTCCTCTAGAATCACTCTATCTATTAAAAAATCCGCTTCAAAATCCGTTGCGTAGTTTTAAAGATTTAATCATACATAGGGACAGACGGCGACAGCGACTTTGTTTTATACTATGTAATGATGATGATGATAATGATGAAAATTGTTTTCTAAACATTAGATGGCCTCAGTGGTCTAGCGGTTTCATACACCGCTTTACTTCCGATGGTCGCCGGTTCGATTCCTCGCACGGTGCAAACATTTTTATTCATGAGTATGACTGTTTGTATCAGTCTGGGTGTTTTCTATGTATAATAAGTATGTATTTACAAAAAAATCTAAACATTCATATCAGTTGTCTAGTACCCATAACACGAGCTTTGCTTACCGTGAGACTAGATGGCGCTATGTTAATTGTCCTGGGTTATTTATTTATTTGGTGATTAAAATTTTATATAAACAAATAATTATACTTGATAAACATAGAATTAAGGAATAAAACTGATCAAACAACTAATATTGAAAAGGCGTTTCATAAGTAATGCCCAATAAAAGATAGTACATATTTTGAAAATAAGAATTCATTCATTAATATATTAATTCTTGTAAAGTTTGTGTACGGTCATTTATATTACATGACTATATGTTTAACCATGTCAGGAACAGTTTCATGACAAAACGTAACAGTAACTAGTGTTTGCTGCAAAATATCGTATTTAATCTCAGAAGTAAATAGATGCAGTTCGATAATCAGTACATAGATAAGATAATTACTGTTTAAATTTGTGTGTAACAAATAGATTGCGCTTCAGACAAACAACTGTGTAGGTATAGCTTACTTGTCTGGCGCCGGCTTCCCCGCGCAGCTGCCAACACAGCTCGGCGCACTGCGCCACGCCGGTGGCGGCCAGCGGGTGTCCTTTACCGATCAGACCCCCGCTCGGGTTCACAACCACTTGTCCGCCGTAAGTGTTCGCGCCAGCATCCACGAATTTACCGCCTTCGCCCTGCCCGCACAGCTGCAGGTCCTCGTAGGTGACGAGCTCGTTACAAGAGAAGCAGTCGTGGAGTTCGACCACGTCTATCTGCTTTGGACTAATTCCGGTCTTTGTGTAGAGCCGCCTCGCCGCTAGACGAGTCATATCCGAACCGGCTATTCTCATAAAACTCGGCTCTTGAAATACGTTTGGTGTATCCGTCGCCATCTCTATGCCAACGATTTCAACCGCTTTGTGTTGGAGCCCGTAACGTACCACCGCAGCCTCCGACATGAGGACGGCTGCTGATGCGCCGTCGTTCGTAGGACAACACTGCAGTTTTGTAAGTGGCCCATGAATTTTTTTAGAATTCAGTATGTCTTTAACTGTATACGCTTTTGTATTAAAAGCTTTCGGGTTTTTCAATGCATGACTATGATTTTTGGCCGCTATTTTGGCAAAATGTACTTCGGTAGTTCCATATTTTTTCATGTGTTCTATTCCAGAATTACCAAAAATAAGCGCCGCCATTGGTACACGAGGTACTTTATTCTTTACTAAATCTATAATTTTTTCCATGTGTATATCAAAAGAGGAAGCTCTATCATCAAAGACAGAGACTTTCAGTGCTCCAGGATTCATTTTCTCAAAGCCCAGAACTAGTGCTACATCAATGATACCTCCCTCCACGAGCTGTTTGGCGAGGAAGAGAGCGCTGCCACCGGTAGCTCCGCTGTTGTTGATGTTGTAGATGGGCACGCCCGTCATTCCGACCTGGTAGAGGACCCGCTGGCCGCTGGTGGAGTCGCCGGCGACGTACGCACACACCGCCTGCTGCACCGCCTCGTACTCCACGCCGGCGTCTCGCAGCGCCTCTACCACCGCTTGCTTGCCAAATTCCGGATAGTCTCCGATGGTGCCCGGCTTGGCAAACTTTGTAACACCAACTCCTACCACGTACACTTTCCTGCCCATTGTAGATATGTGCGCGCCCACTGAATTATATTTAATTACTGATGTACTTGTGAACGTATTTTTATAATTATTACTCGGTTATAACACTAAAAATGATAACAATTATCTCTAAATGTTCCATGATTCTTATTAAAAGATCTTGTCATGACATGCAGCATCATAATATTGTTATTATATATGTGATAAGATATACCAATAATTATACGAATATGACTTTGTCTTTTTTTATGTAATAAAGGAAAGATATATATACCAAAATGACCTGAGAACCTTCTTTTTAGAAGTTGGATGAAAATACTAAAAACGGTGTCATAAATAAAGAATAACCTACATTATTATATTTCATTAAATGTTTTCCTATACGTATACAATTACCACTCAACGCTACAAGCATTCAATGTGGAAAATTAAATAAGCAATTTACGATATTGTTTAATATATAAATAGAAAAAATGAGAACATTTTGATATCATTGTTCGCCAAATATGAATGTTAGCTGATCACAATATTTTTTATAACATTTTGAAATATCACACTCCCTGTTTTTGTTGGCTGCTTTATTCAGATCGGTTCAGAGTTTGGAGAGGCCGGCGTAGTCCGTGAATCCTTTCCTGTACAGCGCTATGACGACAGCTCCCCCCAGGCCCAGGTTGTGCTGCAGCGCGATGCGAGCGTCCGGCACCTGCATTGTATACAAGAACAACAGTCAGTTCAGTCCATATAAAAGGCAACAATCCATATTTAATTCCAAAATCAATTGCGATAAATACAAACAAAATCGAGATTGTACCAATACAACAGTATTGTGTTATCTTATATTAATTCTATTATTGTAAATTAGAACTACTAATATTAGAATGGTTCAAAATTATAAAAAGAAATTAATAAACATTTTATGTCGACTCTTGTGTATAATAATTCTGTTAGAGTTTCGCCAATGGTTCGTCTAGTCTTTCCTGTGCTGATCGAGACTGTGGGAAACAATGACCATTGTGTTTTCATAGAGAACTATTATGTTATATGAAAATAAAATTGCATATAATATCACATATCGCATTCTTCTTATGATGAGACAGCTTTCCGAATGAGCGGTAGATTGAAAAAAAATGTTTATCATTCAAAAGTGTTTCAATGTAAGTTTATTTGAATAAATGATTTCTATTCTTATTCTATTCATACATAGGTTCTACGATTATCTCTAGATATCAACGAATCAGTATATTATCTGACATATGGAAGAGAAATAGGAGTTTGTATTTTGTCCAGCATAATTCATACATCCAGATCGTCTGAACGATGTCACGGGCCGAAGCTTGTTTCTAAATATTATGTAGGTACTAGCGACGTTACTAATAGAACATTACATTATTCCCGGCTTGTACATGTATACAGACCGCGTCTATAATTAAATCTACACACAGAACCTGTCTTGAAAGATTTCTCTCAGCTGTAAGGCTTCTTATTGTATTTATACTTACACGTATATCTTTTGTATTCGGTACTGATCTATTGTTATTCATTACAACGTTTATAGGAAAAATACTTGTAAGTAGCTGTCGCCCATGCACCGTTGTATTCATTGCTAAATTTGGCTTCCAGTTACATTTTAGAATAAATATTTTTTATGTTTTTAAGTCATTTGACATATTATTAAACTAGATACTCGTCCCGGCTTCGCCCGGGTGTACATGTATTGTACATATAAACCTTCCTCTTGAATCACTCTATCTATTTACATAAAAAAACCGCATCATAATCCGTTGCGTAGTTTTAAAGATTTAAGCATACATAGGGACGGACAGACAGCGACAGCGACTTTGATTTATATCATGTAGTGATTACTTGAATTATATAAAATTACTTACTTGTCTAGCGCCAGCTTTCCCCCGCAACTGCCAGCAAAGCTCAGCACACTGCGCCAGGCCAGTGGCTCCGAGCGGATGCCCTTTAGCGATCAGTCCTCCACTCGGGTTCACGACCACTTGCCCGCCATAAGTATTGGCTCCCGCATCGATGAACTTGCCAGCCTCGCCCTCTGCGCACAACTGCAAACCTTCGTAGGTGATCAGTTCGTTACAAGAAAAGCAGTCGTGAAGCTCCACCACATCGATTTGTTTCGGAGTGATTCCAGTTTTCGCATACAGACGTGAAGACGCCAGGCGCGTCATGTCGTAACCAGCTAGTTTCATAAAACTCTTGTCTTGAAACGTACTCGATGGGTCCGTAGCCATTTCCATGCCAATTATTTCGACGGCATTGTTTTGGAGACCGTTACGGATGACGGCATCCTCCGACATGATTATCGCAGCCGCCGCGCCGTCGCTGGTGGGGCAGCACTGCAGCTTAGTCAGCGGTCCGAAGATCTTTCTAGAACTCAGTACTTCTTCGACCGTATATGCTCTCGTACTCTGAGCTCTAGGATTCTTTGCACCATGTCTGTGATTTTTTGCTGCTACTTTTGCGAAATGTACCTCGGTGGTGCCGTATTTCTTCATATGTTCTATACCAGCGTTTCCAAAATATTGCGGTGTCAGAGGACCAGGAGGTACCTCTGTCATTTCCCTCATTTTCTCCTGATGTACACCGGTAGCCGGAGCTCTATCGGGGAAACGAGATCCTTTGAGCGCTCCCGAAGCCATTTTCTCAAAGCCCAGCACTAGAGCGACATCCACTATGCCCCCTTCAATGAGTTGTTTCCCGAGAAATAGGCCACTAGAACCCGTCGAGCAGTTGTTGTTGACATTGTAAATGGGAATGCCGGTCATCCCGACCTGGTACAGCACCCGCTGCCCGCTGGTGGAGTCTCCGGCGGCGTATGCGCACACCGCCTGCTGTATCACGTCATACTTGAGGCCGGCGTCCTGTAGAGCTTCCAGCACTGCTTGCTTCCCAAAATCAGGGTAGTCTCCTATGGAGCCCGGTTTGGCAAACTTCGTCATGCCCACTCCAACCACGAACACCTTCCGTAACATGATGAATACGTGCGCGCTGGTTCATTTACAGTGAGATACTAATGCACTCGTCAATGTGTTTGTTATATTTAGTTTGTATTCATTTATCATTGTAAACAGACTGATAACATTATCATGTCCCAGATAAATTGTACCTGAACTCTGAGCAAAATACGAGATATAATAATGTGGAAAAGATAAGAAGTTCCAATATGTGAGAGCAGAGAGTTGATAATAAAAGCGATTAGAGGTCAAACACCTACGAATAGATGGACCACTTACATTTGTGTTTCACATTATCCTCCGTATCGGCCGACTCAATTACTGAGCTCGCTCTCCCGCGTTATCCCCGGACCTAGATTATCTTTCATTGTTTGCGGGGACTTTGACCTTAGACGTCATATTATTCACAGACTATTTGAAGAAAACAAAAGTTTAAACTGTTATTTATTTATAAATGGAATTCAGTGGTTTATGATTTGTTTTTTTTTTTTTAGATATGACAGACTCAAGTTTGAAATAGTTCCGCGCAATAATGTCGTGTTCGTTATATATACGTTCAATGACAAGAACATACAGCATACAATTCAATAGACCGAAGAACTGGCAGCTACCTCGGACAAAGAATTAGTGTAGCCATTCAAAGAGGGAGCGCTGCCAATATCTTCGGAACTTTGCCTAAAGGGACCCCTTTTAATAATATATTTTAGTCACCATTGCTAATTTAATGTATAAAATATTGCTATTATGATATTGAGAACGTATGAATATATACAGTACAGGACTAAATAGTAATTATATTATTATACAGCCTCGGTGGTCTAGTGGTTTAGCACTCCGCTTTACTATCCGATGGTCGCGGGTTCGATTCCTCGCGCGGTACAAACATTTGTATTCATGAGTATGATTGTTTGTATCGGTCTGGGTGTTTTCTATGTATAATATGTATTTATTTACAAAAAAAATGTATCCATGTATCCATATCAGTTGTCTAGTACCCATAGAGCCACCACCCACACAAGCTCTGCTTAGTTTGGGCTACTTGGCGCTGTGTAAATTGTCCTGAGATATTATCATTATATATACATATATATAATACATTCACGCATTAACAAATTATCGTGTAACTATGTATCTACAAACTTGAAATTGATACTGTAACTCTGCAATTGTTATTGTATTATTGTCAAAGTAGCTGCGCGATGTGGCCGGGAGTTGCTTGAAGGTAGTTGTGACTGGAGCGGGAGCACGACGGGAGCACGACGGGAACACGACCATTATTTTATTGAAAATCACAATAGTAGTGATATATTTCCCAAAAGGACCCACATATATATATAAAAAAGAGATATCAACAATATAAAGTTTATAAAAAGAATGTTAGACGAGCTGCCAGCAACAGTAGGAATGATAAACCGACGCCTGATGTTATTAACAAACTAGAGGAATAAGGAACAACTACTGACACTAACCAACCTGTACAGTACGTATATACAAAAATTGAATACTTACATATTTTCAGATACATGTAGTACAATACTATATGTATCTGAAAATATGTAAGTATTTTGTATGTATGTTGATTATCTTTGCACCGCCAACAATATTTCTCTGTACTGCCTATGGTTGACTGGTAGAAAATACCGCATGGTGTTAAGTCCGCCAAATGTACTGTTACTTTTGTACTGTGTGCATTAAAGTTATATAAATAAATAAATAAATAATACTAGCTCTGTGCACGCGGTTTCACCTACGTGAATTTTTTTATGTGTTATTCTGCTGTATACATAAACTATGTCACTGTAAAGTTTCATCAAAATCCGTTCAGTAGTGTCTGTCTGCTTGAAAGAGTAACAAGCATCGATACTTGTAAACTTTCGCGTTTATAATATTAATAGGATGTATATACATAACTATATATATATTTCACAATATCTATATAAATATCAATTTTTTCTCATTGCCTTTGCAAATTAACAAAAGTTTAACATTATTTCACGATGTAGAAACAAATCAGATATATTGAATTGTGGCGGGAGGACAAGAGTCGCCGTGGAGTGTCGCAGTCTTGATTGGTGGCGTGTTTCCTAAAGTCGGCCCATTAAAACGGGCTCCTTGGCTACTTGTGAACTGTCTCTATTTATTAGGATTTCGCTTCATCTCGAACCGTCACTATAATTAACTGTCTGCCTTTAGAACTTGAAAGCAATTTATTAATTTGTCATTTAAAATTAGTCTAACAACAACAGGAAATTGGATATCTGTGCGAGTTAATGAAAACATCTCGCGCGACAACCATTAACTTAATCCGGCCCCAACTGAACCTCACTTCATGTACTTAATGAGCTCTTAACGTTCCAGATGTTGTGTGGACATAATTACTTAGTTGGTATTAATAATCATAATAAATAAATAATCCTGGACAATTCACACAGCGCCATCTAGTCTCACGCTGTGACTGGAGCGAGGACACAACGACTATCTTAATAAAAATATTTCATAATAGCGATAAATGTATATATTTCCCAAAAGGGCTTACAGCGAACAAATTAACAACAATTAGTCAATAATGAGATATAAAAAACAGATGGTAGACAAGCTGCCAGCAACACACGGTAAGCAGAGATCGTCTTATACATTACATATATACTAACAAATGATATAAATACTTAGATTTTGTTTTGTAAATAAATAGATATTATACATAGAAAACACCCAGACCGACACAAACAATCATACTCATGAATACAAATGTTTGTGCCGTGCGAGGAATCGAACCCGCGACCATCGGAAGTAAAGCGGTGTGCTAAACCGATGAACTACCGAGGCCGTCAATATATAAATATCACCATAAGATAATACTAGAAATTAACAATTTTATCATAAACTCTTCAGAATTATACTATTATGTCTTACTTGCAGCATATTTTGTATAAAATATTTGTTACTCCATAGTAATAAAACTATTTATATGACAATTTATTTTTTATACACACACTTTTAATATTTTATGCTTAGTTCCATTTTTATTGTCAATTATGAAATATTAATATGTCTATTACTACCAGCGACCGGCGACCGCATTTTCTATTTGAATTAAAATTATTAATATAAAATATACAGTCCATAATAAACCTTCACCAGTTTTAATAGAAATCATACAGTTTGTCCAATACACAATCACATCCACTCAAACTGAATAGTATATTGTATTTTAATATAGAATTGAAACTGTAATTAATGTGACGGTCGGTTACTGCGAGATACGGAGATAAATAATAAAGCAACCGTTCACTTATCTGTTATATTTCGGAATGCCTTCAACAAAATCTGTTTGTCTTAAATTCTACAAGCCACCTATTACTTACAAATATCTTATTACCTACAAAGTATAAAACTAATATATACATAAATAGTAATAATAATAATATATTTATTTGTCAGGTATATGGTATGTACAATGGTGGTAATTATACCCGCGGCTTCGCTCGCGTTAATTTATCCCCTTAGGGGTGGAATTTATCAAAATCCTTTCTTAGCGGATGCCTACGTCATAACATCTACCTGCATGCCAAATTTCAGTCCGATCCGTCCAGTGGTTTGGGCTGTGCGTTGATAGATCACTATGTCAGTCAGTCACCTTTGAGTTATATATTTAGATGTATGTTTCATCATATTCTGCTATTTCCAGCCTACAAATATTAATTATGTAATCCAAGCATTATAAATTATAAACAGTAGTCATACATCATAACTTCTTACTTTAAAAACATTATAACAGAATGTCAATATTTAATTAATTGTAAATATTTTACTTAAATACATCACAATCACATTACTGGCCGTTATTTGTCAGTAAGTAATTCATTAATTGAATGTTATTTGATATATATTAAAAATATTGTATACTTGTCTATTTTATAATAGACAAGTAATTTGTCTATGGTAAAAATAAAAGATATCTATGGAAGAACCAAAAAATAGGAATTTTGTAAAACGGTTAAAATGGTGTGTTTTTTTTAGAAATATAAAAGGCTATTTGATTTTGAAATTGTATTTTATTCACAAGGTGTCACGGACGGCCCGGACACTACAAAAATGGCGACGAGAACAAATACCTCGCAAATCAAGTATTTTGAAGAAGGAGATGATATTGACTGTTTTTTAGAACGTATGGACCAATACATGGTGGCATATGCAGTGGAACAAACGAAGCAAGTTTCAGTATTGCTCATGTCTTTGGATGAAAAGACATACAAAACGTTAAAAAGTATATTTCACCCTACGCTACCAAAAGAAAAAGCCTATAAAGAGCTATGCGAAGCTCTAAAATTACGCTTTAGACAAAGAGTTTCTTACTATAGAACTAGAACACTATTCGACAAAATATCAAAAAACGACAACGAAAACATTTCGACGTGGTACACAAGGGTAAGAGAAATGGCAGCTGATTGTGATTTCGGCAAAACATTTGAAGACAGAGTCAAGGACAAATTTGTTACAGGTATTAGATTTGGTCCAATTTTTGAAAGATTATGTGAGGAATCCACGACACGGAATGTGTCAGAATTATTAGAAATTGCTTTAGCCAAAGAGTCAGTGTTACAAGAGAGGCAAAAGAGTTTTGTAAACAAGGTGCAAGTAGTCAAGAAACCTCAATATTCTAAAATTTCAAAATATGATCCAGATAAGGCTAAGGACTCATCTAAGGAAACTATTTTAAAATGCATTCACTGTGGAAAGTCAAATCACTCTTTTGCAAGATGCAAATATAAGACCTATAAATGTAAATTGTGTGGGAAGATAGGGCATTTAGCAGCAATATGTAAAAGCAAGACTACTCACACTGCGCACACAGTGGAAATGCAAGATAAAGAAGAGGAGAATGGTTCGGTTAGCATTTTTACTATGGAAATGGACACGGTGCCACAATTAAATTATATTTCTCCATACAGCATTGAGTGTATAATCGGCTCAAAAGCAGTTAAGATGGAACAGGACACCGGTGCGGCTGTCTCTTGTATTCCGGATAGTGTTTACAACAGGTGCTTTACAAACTTTCAATGTCAAGCTGTCAACTGTGAGTTGAAGACATATAATGGTGAAGTAGTTAAACCTATAGGTAAGATTTTTGTGCCATTAAAATATAATAACAAAACATTGAATTGTGAATTACTAGTTGTAAAAAATGGTAGTAAATGTTTATTTGGAAGGGATTTAATTGAAAAATTTAAATTAAATATTAAAAATTGTATTCCATTAAATATTGTTGAAAATGTAAAGTTGAGTAACTTAGATTATGTATTGCAAAAATATTATGAGGTTTTCAAACCAGGCTTAGGTGAAATTGAAGGAGAAATAATTAAATTAGAATTATTAGATGAAAAGGTTAAACCAGTATTTCACAAACCTAGGCCCATTCCATATGCTTACAAGGACAAAATAGATGAGGAGTTATTGAAATTAGAAAAGGAGAGAGAAGAAACACCGTTAGTTCCTGTTATGAAAGAAAATGGTCAATTAAGACTTTGTGCGAATTATAAAATAACAATAAATAAATATTTAAAAGATGTTAACCATCCTCTACCTCGTATTGAGGACATTTTTGCAGCTTTACAGGGGGGTGATAAATTCTCTAAGTTAGATTTACGCAATGCATTCAATCATTTGATATGTGATAATGAGACAGGAAACCTTCTGGCATGGTCTACACCCAGGGGTATTTACAGATTGAATAGGCTACCATATGGCACTAAGCCTGCCAGTGCGATTTTTCAGGCAAAATTGGAAAAAGTTTTGTTAGGCGCAAAAGGAGTTATAAATTTTATTGATGATACTATAGTTACAGGGGCAAATGATGAGGAACATTTGCAAAATTTAGAAGAAGTTTTAAGACGATTTCAAAAGGTTGGTATTCGATTAAACAAATCAAAATGCCTATTTTTTGAGAAAGAGGTCAAGTATTTAGGCCACATAATTTCAAAAGAGGGTTTAAGGAAGGATAATTCTAAATTAAATGGCATAATTTATGCACCACCACCAAGTACTGTCACAGAAGTCCGTGCTTGGATTGGTATGGTCAATTATTATTCAAAATTTATTCCGCATTTGTCAGTTAAATTGAAACCACTGTATAAGCTTTTGCAAAAAGATGCCAAATTTATATGGTCTAAAGATTGTGATGACAGTTTTAAATTAATTAAAAAGGAGATTGTTTCAGAAAATATTTTAGTTCATTTTAATAGAAAATTACCTTTGAAATTGTCTTGTGATGCTTCACAAAATGGCATAGGAGCGGTGCTTAGCCATGTCATGCCAGATGGTTCTAATAGGCCAATAAGTTTCATTTCTAGGGTTTATAAGCCAACAGAAAATAATTATTCAATGATTCACAAGGAGGCTTTAGCCATTTATTGGGCAGTAAAAACATTTTATCAATATCTGGTAGGTACACAATTTGAACTACAATCAGATCACAAACCTTTGTTAGCACTGTTTGGGGAAAACAAAAGTTTGCCTCAAATGGCTGCTGGCAGACTACAACGATGGTCTCTATACTTAGCTAATTTTGATTATATTTTTAAACATATTAAAGGCTCTGAAAATGTAATGGCTGATTGTATGTCCAGATTGCCTGTTAGTTCTTTTAGTGAAAATGAAATAAATTTAAAAGAGTGTGATTACATTAATTTTGTAGAACAACAAAATGTTATTGACTTAAACATGGTTAGATCAGAGACCAGAAAAGATCCAATATTAAGTTCTGTTTTTAATATGATAAGATACGGATTCCCAAAGAAAGTAATAAATGAATATATTAAACCATATTTCCAAAGAAAGGATGAATTATACCTAGATCAAAATATAATTATGTGGGGTTATAGGGTAGTTGTCCCTGATAAATTAAGATCAAGTTTACTTAAGGAGTTACATTCAACTCATGAAGGAATAGTTAAAATGAAAACCAATGCCAGATCTTACTTTTGGTGGCCGGGACTAGATAGTTGTATTGAAAATGTAGTTAAAACATGTGATATTTGTTTGTCAGCTCGACCAGAACCACCAAAGTCAAATGTCATTTCATGGCCAAGTTGTAGCTATCCCTATGAAAGAGTTCATGCAGATTTTCTTGGGCCTATTGATGGCAAAATAATATTAATTATCATTGATTCTTATACAAAATGGCCAGAAACATTTATAATGAAAAATTTAGAAGCTAGATTAACAGTGGAAAAATTCAGAGAATGTTTTAGTAGGTATGGTTTGCCAAAAATGGTTGTAACTGATAACGCAGCAACCTTTTGTAGTAAGGAATTTTCAGAATTCTTATATAAAAATGGAGTAAGACACCAAACATCACCTCCATTTCATCCTGCTACAAATGGTCTTGCCGAAAACGCTGTAAGAAGTTTTAAGTCAGGATTGCTAAAGACACTGAAAGAAAAAAATAATGTAACTTTTGAAACATTAATGAATCGATATTTATTTCACTATAGAAACTCTATACATAGTACTACAGGCAGTGCTCCAGCAACATTAATGTTTCAAAGGAAATTAAGAACCAGATTTGATTTGTTAAGTAATAAAAATTGTAAAGGGAAAGTTAGTAATATAAATGGTGGAGGAAAAAGAGAAATAACGTTTAAAGAGGGAGACAGAGTTTATTGTCGAGATTATAGACATCCAAATAAGAAAATATTTGTAAAAGCTGTAATTGAGGAAGTCCTTGGAAGAAGAACATATCTTTGCAAAGTAATTAATGAAAATTTAGTTTGGAGGAGACATATAGATCAAATTATAAGTTGTTCTTCCCAGGATCAAGATGATAGTTTAATTAAAAATACTGTAAGTGGTAATGATATAATTAGTTGCAGTGATAATTATTATGATCATGAAACAATTCGCAGACAGGTAGAGCTTAAATTTCCTCAAACTGATGAGACTGTGATTGAGGCTCTTCAGTCTGTTGTTCCTAGTAGCCCTCTTGTTAATACAGGTAATGGGGTTACAGTCAGAAGGTCACACAGAGTGGTTAAACAACCCCAGCGATTAAATTTATAAGGGGGGAGTGGTGGGAAATTGCGGAAAAATATAGCAAATAAGGTTTCACCACCATGCGGTAGGGCGCGGTCGCTGGTTCAGAAATATGATGTTAATTCGCTGACTGATTAAAACATTCAAGGCTTGTTACCTGCAATATATTGGGCTCGTACTCCTGGAGACCACCTCTAAACGGCTGTCGCACAGATCACAATGATATAAGCACAAAACACAAAAATATTGTCCAAATTCGAGATTAACTTTTAGCAGCGTGCACGGCGGTTGATTGTACAAATCAGAGAGTTTTCGAAGTGAATAGATGCACAATTGCACTCGCAGTGACGCGACAGAGGCGCCACTTTACAGGTACATACTTACCCGCTAAATTACAAATATACAAACCTTGACTGCAAATACAACAGACCAGCGAAATAATAATAACAATATATATAATTGTTAACAATAAAAATGTTATAAATGGCGTAACCATTCCCCCGCCCTTGAAAGGACCCCTTTCAAAGAAGAAAGGTAAAAACTAGTACCAAAATTGACAGTTTCGCGATAATTGAACCTTATTATAAATATAAACTTAACAATATAGTATAAAGAAAACTTAGCAATAATAAGTAATAAAATAAAATTAAACCTTAAATCCTAATGTTGTGCTTGTCATAGCTATTGTGATGGTAACGGACACAGTTTTACCACCGGCCTTTGTAAAATACCAGCCTTTGTTTTCACTTGAGCTACACGTATTACATTATCCTTGCCCTTATAAATTCCAACAATAAGCCCAAGGGGCCATTGTAATGGCAAAACATTATCCTGCATTACAACAACTACCATACCTTCACGCACAGGGAAAGCAGGAGTGTTCCACTTCTGCCTAACTTGCAAAGTATGTAAGTATTCTCCACGCCAACGCTTCCAAAAAGACCTAATAAGTTGATCAAGAAGTTCGTATCTCTTAAGAAGATTAGGAGAGGCTTCTAATCGTTCCAATGCGGGAAGCATTTTAAGCGGAGAAGTATTTAAAAAATGCGCAGGAGTCAAAGCCTCCAGCTCTGATGGATCAGAACTTAAAACAGTTAAAGGCCGTGAATTTAATAAACACTCTATTTGAGTGAGTACGGTTGAGAGTTCTTCATACGTCAAAATCTGTGACCCAATAACTTTATATAAATTAGATTTAAGGCATTTGATATTACTCTCCCAGCATCCGCCGAAATGAGGAGCATTTGGTGGAATGAGCTTCCATTGTATCCTATTTTCTGCAAGCTCTTGCTTAAACTGTCCGTCATATTCATTTGTGAGAAAAGTATAAAGTTCACGCAAATACGACCTAGCGCCAATATAATTTGTCCCGTGATCCGAATACATGCATTGTACAGGACCACGTCGTGAAAGAAAACGCTTGAATGCAGCTAAAAAACAAACCGTGCTCATCTCGCTCGTCAATTCAATATGAACGCAACGCGTAGTTAAACAAGTAAACAAACATACGTAAGCCTTACAACTTTTTATACCACGACCACGGTACGGGGTTACATAAAAAGGCCCTGCAAAGTCACTTCCAGTATGGAGAAATGCCTTTTGCGTTTCTCTCACCCTAGCCTCTGGTAAGTTTCCCATAATCGGATAGGTTGAACGAGGTTTAAACCGAAAACATACATTACATTTAGATAGCACAGACCGAATTATACGTCTGGCAGCCAAAATCCAATACTTTGTTCGTAAAATTGACATTAAAAGTGCTGTACCAGTATGCAAATTTCTAATATGATGATAAGATACAAGAAGTTCAATAATGTGATCCCTTCCGGGTAGCAGAATGGGATGTTTGTAATCATATGTTTCATTTGAATTAGCTAAGCGTCCACCAACACGAATAATATTATTATTTAAAAATGGATTCAATTTACCGATGCGATTTGAGCATGGCTTGTCATTACTCAAATTCTGAAATTCATCACCAAAATATTTTAATTGCACTTGACGAAACACTTCGTTTTCTGCAAATTCTAAGTCAGAACTAGTGATAGGGCCTAGCGGTAATTTTTTAATAAATTTAAAAATATAACAGGCAACGCGTATAAATTTAGACCAAAATGAAAACCTGTGTGAAAGTTCGCATAGAAAGGGTTCAATAGACGTAACTATTACCATTGAGACCGGTTTCAATTCAGGTATGTCTACGTTAGCAATCACAGTGAAGGGTTTAACAGGCCAATTATCCCTTGAAGACGAGGCCCATAGGGGACCATGGAGCCAAAGTGGATGACTCAATAATTGAGCTGGCGTTAACCCCCGTGAGAGGCAATCGCTAGGGTTCTCACTGCCCTTTATATGATAAAAATGTTCAGGTTGTAAATTATCCTGAATTTTCGTAACCCGATTGGCTACAAAAGTATGCCACCTATGAGGCGATGAATGAATCCAGTTTAATGCAACTGTGGAGTCCGAAAATGCATAAATTGCATCTATAGGGTACCTAGCTGAATAAGTTTCATAGACACGTTTAATCAGCTGGGATAGAATTACAGCAGCGCAAAGCTCAAGGCGAGCAAGCGAAATTACCTTTAAGGGCGCAACCTTTGATTTCGCACAAACCAAAGATATTTGGTTTGAACCTTGTGCATGTGTTACATGAACGTAAACTACCCCACCGTAAGCCTTCTGACTAGCATCGGCGAAACCTAAAATAGTGACGGTGCATTGATCTACGACCCCTAGGTGACGAGGAAAATATAACTTCGAAATAAGCGGTAGTTCCGTTTGGAACTGAGACCAACACTTTATTATATGTGGAGGAGGTGTTGCATCCCAGTCCACCTTTAGAATCCATAACTCTTTTATCAGAAGCTTTGCGTATAGGATTACCGGGGCTACCAAACCCAAAACATCAAATAAACGAGCGACTGAAGATAATATATTTCTTTTAGTACAAGGTCGTTCGTCTGGGATAACATTGAATGTGAAAACATCATTACTAGGGTCCCAACAGAGCCCCAAAATTTTTAAAACATCATTTTTATCAAATTCTACATGTTGTGACAGTCGATAATCTTCTGGAATTTTGTACAGAACTTCCTTGCAGTTACTAGACCACTTAACCAGTTGGAAATCTCCTGCCGCAAATAATGCTATTAATTCTTGAGATGCATTTATAGCATACTCAGGATTCATAATAGAAGTTACTATGTCATCCATATACAAATCTCTGTTTACGATTTCCTTAGCTAAAGGAAAGCGAGCGCCATCATCAATTGCAAGTTGAGCTATGGTGCGCAATGCCAAATATGGACTACACCGAAGCCCAAAGGCAACACTATTAAATTCATAAATTTGAACAGGATTGTCAGGGCGAAAACGATATAAGATACGTTGGAAGCAACGATCTTCCTTACGTACCTCTATTCTCAAATACATTTGTTTTACATCAGCCGATAAGGCAATTGGAAAAAGACGTAAGTTTAATAATATAGTTAAAAGATCCCTTTGTAAGTTGGGACCACTGTGCAGGACATCGTTTAAAGACAATCCATTATTCGACTTCGCACTGGCGTCTAGCACGGGTCTCACCTTCGTACTACTTTTATCTGCACGCACTACAGCGTGGTGTGGAATGTAATAACAGCGATCACTTCGTTCCTGTGCACTATGCACCGGCGACAAATACAATTTATTTATATAATCCTGTATAACGTCATCATATAAAAGCTTTAATTGAGGTTGTGCAATAAATTTTCGCTCCAAATATAAAAATCTGCGTTTTGCGACGTCAAAGGAGTTACCAAGTAAGTCGGGGCTACATTTAAATGGCAATGCCACTTTATATTTGCCTGCTGAATCACGAGTAGTCGTGGCAGTATAAAATTCCTCGCAATGTTTATCATCTACATTAAGAATAGATTTGGATTCTACCTCCTCAATTTCCCAAAATTTTCTAACTAACGCCTCAATTTGACAAGAAGCGGTAGTACACAACGCTAATGAACGCGGGGATTGCGCAAGCGTAGGCGCTTCCCCGAGCACGATATATCCCAACACAGTCTCGAGGGCATCGGGCGTGCCTGGAGGATTCACTACCTTACCAGACAATAACATCCTTGCGAACAAATTAACACCGATTAATAAATCAATTTCACCCGGTGTGTCCCACGAGTCATCAGCCAGTGGGATATTTCTAAAATTCTCGAAATTAATTGCGTCTACAGGGCATGTAGGGAGAGAACAAGTAATTTGGTTTAACACTAGCGGTTGAATATTAAACTGAAATTTAGTGTTAAACCGTGATTTGAAAGTCATATTTACAGATCCCTTAATTACTTGAGAAGCGCCACCTATGCCTTTAACAACGACAGGTGCGCTACGGTTAACATTGAGACCTAATTTAGAACAACATCTAGCCGTAACATAATGTTTTTGGGAACCAGGGTCTAACAGACACCTAATTGTGACGTCACGACCGTCGCGACCAATGGCATATACCTTTGCAGTAGCCAACACTTCTGTCGAGGCACGCACGGCACGTGGCGACATGACTCCTTGAGTTGACAAACTACAAATGGCGACGTTAGGTACAGAAATGTCATCAAAGGACGGGTTTTCGTCCTCATCAACTAATGCTACATTAGCAGTAGAATCGATTAGTTGCGACTCTTGCGACTGGTCCTTACCAAAATGAAGTAACGTATGATGTTTCATATTGCACTTACTACAACAAGATTTTGAATTACATTTCAACGTAGAATGCAGTGGACTTAAACAGTTGCCACAGCAATGATTACTTTTTATAAATTTAAACCTATCAATAGGCGCGAGTGCAAGAAATTGCTTGCATTTATAAAGATGTAGTTTCGAGGGCGAGGGTTCCCTGCATAAATCACACGAAGCCGGTAACGCGGACGCAGACATACAAACGGGTGCGGGAGCTGCAGTAGTTGCTGCTAAATAAGCGCGAGGCGGGCGAACAGCAGCAGCGGGCGGGCGCGCGCGCGCTCGCAGCTGGCGCCGTCGCGGCGGACCCGCCGACGGAACCAGTGCGGTTATTGATACGATGTAATATTTTTACATGCTCGCGGATAAATTTCACAAACTCATCATAGTCAGGTACTTCTGAACTACGAATGGAATTTTCGAAACATTTAGCGGTATCAGAATCTAGTAATTTTAATCCCAAATGGACAAAAATAAAATCACTCAGATCATTTATATTAAGCTGCTTTAATGCAGCGATTAAAGATGCGAATTTATCTATGGTTCGTTCTAAATTTACTGCCGAAGGACCGTTAAGAGGTTTCATAGAAAATAATTGATTTAAATACGACGTTGCCAACGCGCGCTTATCGTGATATTTATCAATAAGGGCGTTCCATACGACCGTATAATTCTCAGCGCATGGCACTAGACCGGCACACACGTTCCTAGCACGGCCGGACAAGTGTCCCATCAAATGGTGAATACGTTCAGAATCTGTTAATCTTTTATTTTCATGAATTAAACGTTTGAAAGTTTCATAAAAAAATGGAAAATTGTAAATTTCCCCATCAAACATGGGTAAAATTACGCGGGGAATATCTATTTCGTGTTTAGGTTCGTGGCTCGGGATAGATTGTGGAGTTATGTTCTCTAAAGACGCAAGAACCGTTTTAATTGGATAGTAAATATCATCGAACGCATTCACGTATTGATAATTTACAACGTAATCGTCATTTAATTCTAAATTCAATAAATTAATTTTATCGATGATATCCACATACTCCGATCGTATGTGGTCTACTTCACGAGCTTTCACTAAAAAGATCTCCGTAGTCCGATCTGTCGTTAATTTGGATGACGATTGATATATAGATTGAACCTGACTAAAGAGAAGAGCACGTTTTGCTTCAGATAATTTAAGATTTTTCTTAATATCCATTTTATTAACCTGAGCCATGTTCCAATAATATACTATATCGATATACAATATTAGGAAATAAGATAAACAATAGTACTAAATGTTATACCCAAACTCTGCCAATCCCAAGTAGAAAGAGGCGTGAATATATTAAGAAATTAATTACAATAAACCTACTATTAGGTATTTATGCAAAAACAAACGGTTAGTTGTATCTAACCAACAGTTAACTGTTATAAACAATAGTTAGATACAATTATAGCGGTAGGTACATTCATTTAATATTTGTACAATAGAAATGCAACTATAAAAATATTGCATAAATTCGCGCGGACTGACACCTGCAAGTTATCAGTATAACCTTGACCTATATATGAGGTTAAGTATAAGACTATACTGCGAATATTGGTAAACAACCAAATTTAAATATTTATATTAGATAATCTCTGCCTACCCCTTATGGGCCTAAGCGTGAAGATATAAAGATAGATAAACCCTAAATATGTAATCTAGTAAATTCAATTTATCAAACCGCGTACTAATACAATAAGTAATCACGGCTATGATTATATATATATATATATACATACTATAATTATGTGCCCAAATACATATCTGAATTATTTCAAATTAAATACATTTACTAACTCAGTAGGTACATAAGCGATTCAATTACGCAGTAGTAGGAGGTTCGAGTCGATGCGGGGTGAGAAATAATTATAATCGAACACGAAACAACCCATACAACGTAATGCGGTGCAGTATAATACAATTAATTTTGCAAATACAATAAACAATGAATACACTTATATACCAGACTATTTTGAAATGCAGAGATAATGAGACATGAACTATACGCAAACGAGTTTATCAAAAAATATGCGGGTACATAAATAAAAACCGTACAACGCTACGTGCGATTTAATTTTTATAAAGTTTAATCTCTTATGAAGAAATTTAATGTATATGTAGTTAATAATATGAAATTACTATAATGCGTAGTTAATATAAAATACCTATGCACTTTTGTATTTCGAGTTACGGAACTAGCTAATGAATACAATCGAACTTAGCCCTATTCATATAACAATAAGGTTCAATTTCAACTGTGCGGAACTGTCAACGTACACCAATTTCGTAATTAGAATTTTATATAATTGATTACTAATTACAATCCGGGTCGAACGGATCAAATATTATGGTGGGAAATTGCGGAAAAATATAGCAAATAAGGTTTCACCACCATGCGGTAGGGCGCGGTCGCTGGTTCAGAAATATGATGTTAATTCGCTGACTGATTAAAACATTCAAGGCTTGTTACCTGCAATATATTGGGCTCGTACTCCTGGAGACCACCTCTAAACGGCTGTCGCACAGATCACAATGATATAAGCACAAAACACAAAAATATTGTCCAAATTCGAGATTAACTTTTAGCAGCGTGCACGGCGGTTGATTGTACAAATCAGAGAGTTTTCGAAGTGAATAGATGCACAATTGCACTCGCAGTGACGCGACAGAGGCGCCACTTTACAGGTACATACTTACCCGCTAAATTACAAATATACAAACCTTGACTGCAAATACAACAGACCAGCGAAATAATAATAACAATATATATAATTGTTAACAATAAAAATGTTATAAATGGCGTAACCAGGGAGTATTGATATATATTAAAAATATTGTATACTTGTCTATTTTATAATAGACAAGTAATTTGTCTATGGTAAAAATAAAAGATATCTATGGAAGAACCAGTAAATAGGAATTTTGTAAAACGGTTAAAATGGTGTGTTTTTTTTAGAAATATAAAAGGCTATTTGATTTTGAAATTGTATTTTATTCACAAGGTGTCACGGACGGCCCGGACACTACAACTACCAACATTGTTCAAGTATCCATGACCATCCATACACTTTTTTAAAAGAATGTAGTATTGAGACTTTTAAAATTGTAATACACTACAGTTACGTCGCGTCGCGTCGCGTCGGTCGGTAGAGTCGGTAGAGTAGTGACAATGACGTCACAATGTTGACATCCCCACAGTAATGTGAGCGGCCGCGCGTCGACATGCTCATTGGCTCCCTGATTGATCAACGTGTCATGTTCGCCGTCAAACAGCGCCGCCTGCAACCAACGAACTCGTCTCAATCGCAGTCACCTCGCCGCGCCGTACCGGCACCCGGCACCCGGCATTCGGCACCCGGCAACGTCAATAATCTCCACATACCCACCGAATATAGTTCATTATATACCTATACGATAGCAGTCACGTCGAATTGCATACTATTTATATTTACATACCAGTTGTACCCGCGACTACGTCCGCGTGGAATTTTACTTTATTGTTCTAAAATAAAACTAAAAAAATGCCTCAAAATCGGTCCAGCCGTTTCAGAGATTAGCACGGAAGGAACGACTGACAGACAGACAGATAAAAAATATAATTTGGTAAATTCATATATGTATGCAATAGTATGCATGTAGTAAAAAACGGTTATTTCAATATTACAAATAAATACTGCAATTTTATTTATATGTACAGATTACGCCGCATTATGAATGTTTACCTGATTTTTTTATGTTATGACATTAAAATTCTGTTCAATAATGTATACTTTGTTGTTACACTTGTAACACTATGAAATAAAAATATGTTGTACAAAAATGCGAGCAAGCGCGGGCTCATCCCTGATAGAGATATCTTCCGAGGTGGTAGTTAGCGGGTATTTAAAAAGATAAAACATACAAACACTTACAAAATATAAAATATATATTAAGATATGACAAGAAAACGTTAATATATATTCAATACCATTAAATAGTATAAGATAAAATCGCCGTCCCTATGTACATATGCTTAAGTCTTTAAAACTATGCAACGGATTTTAAGGCGGTTTTTTTAATAGATAGAGTGATTCAAAAGAAAGGTTTATATCTATAATACATGTACACCCGGGCAAAGCCGGGGCGAGTAGCTAGTATTTAACAAATAAATGAATATGAATATATACTATTTGCTTTTTGCCCTGTCAATGGCGAAAGATTTATGTGAATTGAAGAGAAACAAAAATCTTAAGTTTTAATTCGAGACCAATAATGTTATGAAGTATCTCACTGTACCTAAATAATAAATTAAGTATTTTAAACACTCTGACAGAATATATTAAAACATCGTACTAGACGTGCGTAGATATATTAAATATGTAAAACAAACTAGTGCCGCTAATAGAAAAAAATCTACTGACACCTACCGACATTGACTTCGATGCTTAATATGTGTATAAACTTACTTTCGTCAGCCCGTGACCATGGCCAGTCGAGGGCCAGCAATCTAGTCGAAACGGCGAGAGGTAAATACCTTTATTTACCATAAAATTATTCGTGTTAAGACTCGGTTAACGATAATAATAAAATCTCAGGACAATTCACACAGCACCATCTAGACCCAAGTTAAGCTAGCTAAAGCTTGTGTTATGGGTACTAGATAACTGATACAAATACATAGATATATATTTTTTCGTAAATACATACATAATTACATAGAAAACACCCAGACCGACACAAACAATCGTAATCATGAATACAAATGTTTGTGCCTGGCGAGGTATTGAACCCGTCACCATCGGATCGTGAGGCGGAGTGTTAAACTGCTAGACCACTGAGGCCGTCAAAATATAAATAAAATTCTAAATTATTTATAATTTCTATATTCTGCCTGCGTTGTACAGGGCTACAGTGATTTCCCTGGAGTCCTGTATATTAGCTAAGCTTTTCACTACGTGCATACTCAGTAAAGTGCGGC